TAATATAAAGTCCCTAATCACTTACGGGGGGAGGGGGGGGGACTATACCGTCCGTCTGTGTACGTACATACGTAACACCAATGTTTGTCAGCGCTCTAGCAGCTTCATTCCTTGAGGGATCAAACTTCATACAATTACAAAGGACAATATCTCAAACAACTTCAAATTTCAGGGTCAGGTCAAGGTCACCGTTACTATTTTTTGAAAATCCTTGTCAGCGCTCTAGCGTAATATAAAGTCCCTATCATTAACTGTATGTAATATAAAGTCCCTATCACTCACTGTATGTAATATAAAGTCCCAATCACTTAATATTTATGTATGTAATGTAATATAAAGTCCCCATAACTCAATATATGTAATGTAATATTTAGTACCCATCACTAACTGTATGTAATATTTAGTACCCATCACTAACTGTATGTAATATAAAGTCCCCATCACTAACTGTATGTAATATAAAGCACCCATCACTAACTGTATGTAATATAAAGTGCCCATCACTAACTGTATGTAATATTTAGTACCCATCACTAACTGTATGTAATATTTAGTACCCATCACTAACTGTATGTAATATCAAGCACCCATCACTAACTGTATGTAATATAAAGTGCCCATCACTAACTGTATGTAATATTTAGTACCCATCACTAACTGTATGTAATATAAAGTCCTTATCACTAGCTGTATGTAATATAAAGTGCCCATCCCTAACTGTATGTAATATAAAGCACCCATTACTTACTATAACTATGTAATATAAAGTCCCCATCACCCATATATATGAGCCAGAGGAGTAGCTTGTTTATGACAGTCAGGTAAGATCTGCTACGGTCACCACATATGTGTGCTATCTAGATAGCAGGTATAACTGTATGTAATATAAAGCACCCATTACTTACTATAACTATGTAATATAAAGTCCCCATCACTAACTGAATATAATATAAAGCACCCATCACTAACTGTATGTAATATAAAGTCCCTATCACTAACTGTATGTAATATAAAGCACCCATTACTTCCTATAACTATGTAATATAAAGCACCCATCACTAACTGTATGTAATATAAAGCACCCATTACTAACTGTATGTAATATAAAGTCCCCATCACTAACTGTATGTAATATAAAGCACCCATCACTAGCTGTATGTAATATAAAGTGCCCATCCCTAACTGTATGTAATATAAAGCACCCATTACTTACTATAACTATGTAATATAAAGTCCCCATCACCCATATATATGAGCCAGAGGAGTAGCTTGTTTATGACAGTCAGGTAAGATCTGCTACGGTCACCACATATGTGTGCTATCTAGATAGCAGGTATATATGTATACTGGTAGAACACATGTGTATGGGGAGATAAGCCAGTGTGTGGCTGTGTACTGTACATGTGGGGCGGTGGTCACACGTCTATCTATCTATCTATCTAGGGATTGTTATACCCACCCCTGTCACACACACGGTCCAGCTACGCCCCTGATACTCAGGAGACACCCCAAGGATACACAGAAATCACCACAGCAATTCTGCTGTAGTTTGTGAGTATAGAATGGTCTCGCCCAGTCATAAGCTTGTGGATGTAGTAAGCATGTGACTCACAGTAAACTGATCCGGTTGTGATTATTATGAAATACACTGACTGACATAGGCATATGTATAGCCCTTCATTGTTGCATAAGTTTTTGCATGGATTGTTGTTGGTCTCGTCCACTGGGAACTCTACCTGTCATACATGTATATTGATCCTTAGTTGCCCTGGACATAATGTCCAGCTTTGACAGTTGTGAATGTAAAAACTGTAAATTCTTTTTAAGGTGAGTAACTTCTAAGTGATGTTCTCAAAGGGTAGGAATGAAGGGGTGTTTGACAAGAACTAGGGTCACAGGATAATATAAGGAGATGGGGAGGGGGAGTACTTGGGGTCACATATTACTCTAGGGGGGGGGGGACTGGGGTCACAGGATACCCTAAGGGGAAGAGGTGGGGGGAGAACTAGGGTCATTATCACCAGATAATTTAAAGAGATGGTGAGGGGGAGCAC